CCCCAAACGTCCCTTTTCCCCAAACCCACCCCAAACGTCCCTTTTCCCCAAACCCACCCCAAACGTCCCTTTTCCCCTCCTGCCCTCAGTTCCAGGACCTGCAGAACACGTGGGAGAGCCAACGGGAGCAGCTGAGGAACAGCCACCGGGAGATCCAGGAACTCGCCCGGCACATCCAGAGGCTCCAGCCGGAGGTCGAGGTCGCCAGGAAAAGGGTGAGGCCGACGAATCCCAAACTGCCCAAGCGCCTTCTCCGGGGATCCCAGTGCAGCCGGAGGCAGCTGATCCTCGGGGGACAAACTTAGGGATGGTTTCTCTCCAAAATGAAGCAGATTTAGAGTCTTGGGATCCACAGTGGGATTTAATTTGGGTTGATTTACCCATTTTTGGAGTTCTGTCAATAAGGAAAGTCCTTTAATTTCCAAGGAATGCCAAAAAGGGTTGGAAAATGAGATTTACATTGCGATTTAGTTTGGGTAATTTACCCATTTTTGGAGTTCTGTATTGAGGAAAGTCTTTGAATTTCCAAGGAATGAAAGAAAGGGTTGGAAAATGAGATTTACATTGGGATTTCTTTTGGGTAATTTACCCATTTTTGGAGTTCTGTATTGAGGAAAGTCTTTAAATTCCAAGGAATGCCAGAAAGGGTTGGAAAATGGGATTTACATTGGGATTTAATTTGGGTAACTTACCCATTTTTGGAGTTCTGTCATCAAGGAAAGTCTTTAATTTCCAAGGAATTTAATTTCCAAGGAATGCCAGGAGGGTTTGAAAATGGGATTTACATTGGGATTTAATTTGAGTAAATTCACCCAGTTTAATGACTTTTTGGAATTCTGTATTAATTTCCAAGGAATTTAATTTCCAAGGAATGCCAGGAGGGTTTGAAAGTGGGATTTACATTGGGATTTAATTTGGGGTCATTTACTCATTTTTGGAGTTCTGTCATTAAGGAAAGTCCTTTAATTTCCAAGGAATGCCAGAAAGGTTTGGAAAATGAGATTTACATTGGGATTTAGTTTGGGTAATTTACCCATTTTTGGAGTTCTGTCATTAAGGAAAGTCCTTTAATTTCCAAGGAATGCCAGAAAGGGTTGGAAAATGAGATTTACATTGGGATTTAGTTTGGGTAATTTACCCATTTTTGGAGTTCTATTGTTAAGGAAAGTCCTTTAACTTCCAAGGAATGCCGGGAGGGTTTGAAAGCCGTGGGATTTTGGGGTTTCCCTGCGCAGGGCTGGACTGGAGGATCCCCACAGGGCCCTTCCAGCCGTGGGTATCCCACGATCCCGTGACCGTGGAAGGGAATCCTCAGTGGTGAAATCCCAACCCTGGTTTTCCATCTGGAAAACTGAAACCAATAGAGGGAATCTGGTGAGATCCCAGCCCTGGTTTTCCATATGGAAAATTAAAGCCAATGATGGCTCAGTGGTGAAATCCCAGCCCTGGTTTTCCATATGGAAAACTGAAACCAATAGTGAGAATCTGGTGAAATCCCAGCCCTGGTTTTCCATATGGAAAATTAAAACCAATGGTGGGAATCTGGTGAAATCCCAGCCCTGGTTTTCCATATGGGAAGCTGAAACCAATGATGGGACAGTGGTGAAATCCCAACCCTGGTTTTCCATATGGAAAATCAAAACCAATGATGGCTCAGTGGTGAAATCCCACCCCTGGTTTTCCATATGGAAAATTAAAATCAGTGGTGGGACAGCGGTAA